TACTTATGAAAGGCATTCAAAGAGGAGGGCTGCATGCATGTGTTAGACATGATATACATCATAATACATTCCAATTTCACAAGAATTTGATAAAAAGGCAAAAACTGTGCACAAATAGCAGCTATAGAAAAATTTAAAAACATGTGAGATGCATAATTCAGTGCAAAGAGCAGAGAACGGAAGAAAAGTATTTATAAGAGCAGCAGTCTATAAAAATATGTGTCATTTTAACAGTCTTATCGGAGTGTCAGAGTTATATAACGTTTGCCACGAAGTTTTTACTCAAACTCGAAAAGTATCCGTCCATTTCAATAGATTTCGTCACTCTTTTCCAGTAAACCAAAATGAATCCGCATAACATCGTTTCTGCTTTGAGTGATTTAATTGCAAATAATTTAACCGTTACACAACAGTCTCCGATTATATCACAGGAGCGACAAATGGCCGAATATCTAGCTGACACTGTTAAATTAATGACCAGTGGACAAAAAGTTGATTACGTTGAAGAAACAACTTTAGATTTCGGCCGTTATACCGACGATGAAGAAAGTGAAGAGGAGGAAGAATCCATGCTGGATGAGAAAGAAAGTGAAGAAATGGACGAAGATTGGAAGGACAAAGAATTAGCTTCAGAAAAATATAATTTAAGAAGCTTTTCAGAAGAGTTTATGCGTCAAGTTATCGATTTTGTTGATCGTGCAGGTCCGGGAAGTAAACATGGGAGATCTTGGAAAGCCATTCATCACCGATTTCAAACAATCCCAGACAGAAGTTATATTCCACGTTTTCGAAAATATTTGGAACATCATGGAACAAAGCGACAGAAGATTCAAGATCTGGACAGTTTAGTTTACAAAAAGTTAGTTGATGCAAGACAAAAGAATCTCGTTGTTCATGGTTTGGATATCCAGCGATGGGGTTTAAAGATAGCTAAAGAAATAAAGCTCGACGATTTTCATGCTTCTCATGGTTGGCTGGAGAATTTCAAAAGTCATCATAGATTAACTTCTCTGAAAATTACAAACTTTGTTTCACACCATCAAGTCGAAAATCGGGAAGTTATAGAAAAATCAAAACAAAATTTTATTCTGGAGTTTAATAAAGTGTCATCTCACTTTAAACCATCTGACATTTTTAATACAGACCAAACAGGTGTCGAAAAAGAATTACACTCCAATCGTACTATATCTTTCGTTGGTGAAAAGAGGACTTTTGCAGTTGTTCAGTCGAAAAATGCTACTACACACTCTTACACTCTACAGCCAACTATCTCATTAGACGGACGGCTCTTAGAAACGATTTATTTATGTTTGCAGGAGCAGGGAGGTGAGTTAAACGTTAGTCGAACCGTTTAAAACCGCTATCTCTCGTTTTTCCCTTATTTTAGGAAAAATGGGAGAGCAAGTTAAGAGACATTTGTTTCAGCCGAAAAATGTCGTTATAACCTGTTCGGCGTCGGGAAAACTTACTACTTCATTGGTTAAATATTGGAGAGATAACTGTTTTCTTCCATTGGTTGGTGCTAAATGTTTACTGCTATCAGACAGTTACCCAGGACAAAATCGTGAAGAACTCTATCAACCGGAAAATTGTGGTGGTAAAAAGGTCACACGTTTACAAATACCACAAAATACAACTGACGAGCTACAGCCACTGGATTGTTATTTCAACAGACAAATTAAAATTTTCCTCAAAACATGTTATCATCGTGTAGCGTTGGATGAACTAGATATACACTTACACGAACGAAATAACATCATACGTTTAGTCAGTCTAATGCACAATCAATTGAGCGCAGATGTATTCACGCCAATGATTAAATACGCTTGGTTCTCCAGTGGCTTAATGCATGAAGATCCTTCTCCATTTGTCAGCGTTAATCAAGTTTGCTTTGCAAGTTCAGGAACCCATATACAATGTGAAGAAAAAGACTGCGATGAGTCTGTTTTTATAACTTGTGCTCGATGTTCGAAGAAATTGTGTTTTCAACACTTTTTTACCAGTTATCATTTCCATTAAAAACACAGCAAATATTTTCACGAATCATGGCTCTGTGAAACTGCTTTATTGCCCCCTTTATCACAAATTGCTAATAACATGTATGAAAAAACAGAATAGAAAGAANGAAGAAATGGACGAAGATTGGAAGGACAAAGAATTAGCTTTAGAAAAATATAATTTACGAAGCTTTTCAGAAGAGTTTATGCGTCAAGTTATCGATTTTGTTGATCATGCAGGTCCGGGAAGTAAACATGGGAGATCTTGGAAAGCCATTCATCACCGATTTCGAACAATCCCAGACAGAAGTTATATTTCACGTTTTCGACAATATTTGGAACATCATGGAACAAAGCGACAGAAGACTCAAGATCTGGACAGTTTAGTTTACAAAAAGTTAGTTGATGCAAGACAAAAGAATCTCGTTGTTCATGATTTGGCTATCCAGCGATGGGTTTAAAGATAGCTAAAGAAATAAAGCTCGACGATTTTCATGCTTCTCATGATTGGCTGGAGAATTTTCAAAAATCGTCATAGATTAACTTCTCTAAAAATTACAAACTTTGTTTCACACCATCAAGTCGAAAATCGGGAATTTATAGAAAAATCAAAACAAAATTTTATTTTGGAGTTTAATAAGGTGTCATCTCACTTTAAACCATCTGAGATTTTTAATACAGACCAAATAGGTGTCGAAAAAGAATTACACTCCAATCGTACTATCTCTTTCGTTGGTGAAAAGAGGACTTTTGCAGCTGTTCAGTCGAAAAATGCTACTACACACTCTTACACTTTACAGCCAACTATCTCATTAGACGGACGGCTCTTAGAAACGATTTATTTATGTTTGCAGGAGCAGGGAGGTGAGTTAAGCGTTAGTCGAACCGTTTTAAGCCGCTATCGCTCGTTTTTTCCCTTATCTTAGGAAAAATGGGAGAGCAAGTGAAGAGACACTTGTTTCAGCAGAAAAATGTCGTTATAACCTGTTCGGCGTCGAGAAAACTTTCTACTTCATTGGTTGAATATTGGAGAGATAACTGTTTTCTTCCATTGGTTGGTGCTAAATGTTTGCTGCTATCAGACATTTACCCAGGACAAAATCGCGAAGAACTCTATCAACCGGAAAATTGCGGTGGTAAAACGGTCATACGTTTACAAATACCACAAAATACAACTGACGAGCTACAGCCACTAGATTGTTATTTCAACAGACAAATTAAAATTTTCCTCAAAGCATGTTATCATCGTGTAGCGTTGGATGAACTAGATATACACTTACACGAACGAGATAACATCATACGTTTAGCCAGTCTAATGCACAATCAATTGAGCGCAGATGTATTCACGCCAATGATTAAATACGCTTGGTTCTCCAGTGGTTTAATACGTGAAGATCCTTCTCCATTTGTCAGCGTTAATCAAGTTTGCTTTGCAAGTTCAGAAACTCATATAGAGTGTGAAGAAAAAGAGTGCGATGAGTCTGTTTTTATAACTTGTGCTCGATGTTCGAAGAAATTGTGTTTTCAACACTTTTTTACCGGTTATCATTTCCATTAAAAACACAGCAAATATTTTTACGAATCATGGCTCTGTGAAACTGCTTTATTGCCCCCTTTATCACAAATTGCTAATAACATGTGTAAAAAAACAGAACAGAAAGAAAAACAGTAGTTTTTCTTTCATAAATGGTGTAAGGATATTAGCGGTTTTTCCCTCTTTTTTTAAGTTTTAGACGCAGAAAACTCGCTCAAAACCTCGCATAGAACCTTGAAAAATTGTTTTCTGTAGGTTTGACGACGTGCTCTTTCATTTGGACAGGTCAAAAAAATTTTCAGTGAAAATGGTTTTTCGGTTGAAAAACCAAGATCTTTAAAAAACGGGTCTTTAAATCTAAAGCGGGCAAAAACCATTGTGATATTCGGAATCAGCACGTTCGATTACCTATTATCAACTGACTTTCAGCTCAAAAGGGAGGAGGCAGTTGGTGGCCTTCCCTCGTTAGTATGACGAACAAGGGGGTAAGTGCTGCACCATTGCACCAAAATATGCTCAAAGGTGCTGAAAAGGTGCTGAGGTGCCGAGATGGTGTTGAAAAGGTGCCGAGGTGCTGAAACGGTGCTGAGGTGCTGAGATGGTGCTGAGATGGTGCTGAGGTGCTGAGATGGTGCTGAGATGGTGCTGAAATGGTGCTGAGAAATTGCAGTGGTGCTCACAAAGTTTTGGGAAATATGATAGAAATTGAGGTTATCGCTAGGGGTGAGAGTCATATTATCATAACTTGATTTTTGTCTGCTCAAATAGTGAGTACACTCTAGAATCGGTCAGTATGTCCAGCCGTCCGGTCGTTAACACGATAACTTTTGAAAGGAGAGTTCAATCGCGATGAAATTTTCTACACAGCTTAGTCTCATCAATGTCTCGGTCGAGTNGCGTCAAGTTATCGATTTTGTTGATCATGCAGGTCCGGGAAGTAAACATGGGAGATCTTGGAAAGCCATTCATCACCGATTTCGAACAATCCCAGACAGAAGTTATATTTCACGTTTTCGAAAATATTTGGAACATCATGGAACAAAGCGACAGAAGACTCAAGATCTGGACAGTTTAGTTTACAAAAAGTTAGTTGATGCAAGACAAAAGAATCTCGTTGTTCATGATTTGGATATCCAGCGATGGGGTTTAAAGATAACTAAAGAAATAAAACTCGACGATTTTCATGCTTCTCATGGTTGACTGGAGAATTTCAAAAATCGTCATAGATTAACTTCTCTGAAAATTACAAACTTTGTTTCACACCATTAAGTCGAAAATCGGGAAGTTATAGAAAAATCAAAACAAAATTTTATTTTGGAGTTTAATAAAGTGTCATCTCACTTTAAACCATCTGAAATTTTTAATACAGTCCAAACAGGTGTCGAAAAAAAATTACATTCCATTCGTACTATCTCTTTCGTTGCTGAAATGAGGACTTTTGCAGCTGTTCAGTCGAAAAATGCTACTACACACTCTTACATTTTACAGCCAACTATCTCATTAGACGGACGGCTCTTAGAAACGATTTATTTATGTTTGCAGGAGCAGGGATGTAAGTTAAACGTTAGTCGAACCGTTCTAAATCGCTATCGGTCGTTTTTTCCCTTATCTTAGGAAAAATGGGAGAGCAAGTTAAGAGACACTTGTTTCAGCCGAAAAATGTCGTTATAACCTGTTCGGCGTCGGGAAAACTTCTTACTTCATTGGTTGAATATTGGAGAGATAACTGTTTTCTTCCATTGGTTGGTGCTAAATGTTTGCTGCTATCAGACAGTTACCCAGGACAAAATCGCGAAGAACTCTATCAACCGGAAAATTGCGGTGGTAAAAAGGTCACACGTTTACAAATACCACAAAATACAACTGATGAGCTACAGCCACTGGATTGCTATTTCAACGGACAAATTAAAATTTTCCTCAAAGCATGTTATCATCGTGTAGCTTTGGATGAACTGGATATTCACTTACACGAACGAAATAACATCATACGTTTAGCCAGTCTAATGCACAATCAATTGAGCGCAGATGTATTCACGCCAATGATTAAATACGCTTGCTTCTCCAGTGGCTTAATACGTGAAGATCCTTCTCCATTTGTCAGCGTTAATCAAGTTTGCTTTGCAAGTTCAGAAACTCATAACAGTGTGAAGAAAAAGAATGCGATGAGTCTGTTTTTATAACTGGTGCTCGATGTTCGAAGAAATTGTGTTTTCAACACTTTTTACCAGTTATCATTTCCATTAAAAACACAGCAAATATTTTTACGAATCATGGCTCTGTGAAACTGCTTTATTGCCCCCTTTATCACAAATTGCTAATAACATGTGTGAAAAAACAGAACAGAAAGAAAAACAGTAGTTTTTCTTTCATAAATTGTGTAAGAATATTAGCAGTTTTTTCATCTTTTTTTAAGTTTTAGACGCAGAAAACTCGCTCAAAACCTCACTTAGAACCTTAAAAATTGTTTTCTGTAGGTTTGACGACGTGCTCTTTCATTTGGACAGGTCAAAAGAATTTTTTAGTGAAAATGGTTTTTCGGTTGAAAAACCAAGATCTTTAAAAAACGGATCTTTAAATCGAAAGCGGGCAAAAACCATTGTGATATTCGGAATCAGCAAATTCGATTACCTATTGTCAACTGAGTTTCAGCTCAAAAGCGACGAGGCAGTTGGTGGCCTTCCCTCGTTAGTCAAATGTCAATAGTTGATATCCTCGCTAGTATACATTTGATTATGATAGAAAATTAACGAGACAACTACTAACGAGAGAAACTGCTCTTGTGTTAAATCAATTCAGACTTGAAATTGTTGCTACTACTTAGATAGATCCTAGTGAATAGTGAACAGGCTGTTTGGTTGGGATTCCTGGCCTTCTCTTGTTCCGTTATGAGCCTTTTATTGTGCTGTTGAATTATGAAAGTAACTTGCCGAGAAAATTCAGTTACAAGGTTTAGAGCTGAAATTTTGTTGATTGTTGAATCTTACGATCACTAGAATACTCTAAAAATTTTATCTAAAACAAATGTATTCTTATTGAAATATTCCACCATCAGGAAGAGTCCTCTGGTTAACAATACAAGCCAAGTAGTGTGCATCAGGAAACGGTAAATATTTCGATAAAGATACATTTGTTTTAGCTGAAAACTTTGGAATACTCTAGTGGCTATAAGAAGTGACTATTGATTAAATTTCAGCTCAAAATCTTGTAACAGAATTGTCCAGAACACTTACATCCAAGGCCAAAAAGCTCAGTAAAGGTCCATAACTCGAAAAGATAAGGCCGCAAACTCAGACCAAAATAGACTTTTTCATTACTAAGCAAGACCAGTCTAATAGGAAAAGTTCCAACCGAAAAAACGGTTTTAAACTAAAACTTACAAGTTTTTCCGTAAGTCATAAATGTAGTGGCAAGTCGATTAGCAATACTGTATTCAAAATCATACGATTGCTACCAGCTTTTAGATTATTATTAAAATATGACCGAAAGAAAGGCTTTCAATATTATTAAAGCTGTCCCAGGTGTTGGTCAAGCGTATGGTGTCGTGCGAGGTGTTGTTTATGCAGAAAAAGATGACATGCATGAAGCAAAGCATTCCGTTACAGTGGACTTGGCAGATTTGAATCCACTACGAATACCAAGAAATCTTGCACATGGTATCGCCAGTGCAACGAACGATTTGGATGAAGGCGCTTGGATCGGAAAACGACCGATTGGTAAACAACTTATTGGTCTTGCTTAGTAATGAAAAAGTCTATTTTGGTCTGAGTTTGC